TGTGTGCACATGTAAGGCTACACACACACACACACACAGTAACGTGTACACAAAGATAGAAACGAGACACAACCACAGGAAGAAATGAAATGCATGTATGTATATATATATGTATATATACATATATACACATATATACATATATATACATATACATATTAATACATACATACATATATATATATATATATATATATATATATATGTGTGTGTGTGTGTGTGTGTGTGTGTGTGTGTGTGTGTGTGTATGTGTGTGTATATATATATATATACATATATCTATACACACACACTCGCATGCATTTAATTTCGTCTTGTGGTTGCGTCTCGTATCTGTGTTACTGTGACTCTTTTTGCAAAATTGCAAAAAGAGCAACATCTCACAAGGATTAAACGACCGACGAGCAGAAAGAAACATCGGCTGATCAGCAAGAATTCGAAGACGGTCGTTGTTGGTGACATGCATATCTTGGTCGCTGCAACCAAAGTAATGACCGTCGACATTATGGCTTAGGATAGACGAAAGTCTGTTTACATTGTACGAGTCCTTTAATTTGGTGCCTAACCTTAGATTATATTCTAGAATGTTATATGACATGATTTATCACATGATATAATGTAATACAATATAATTTTATATGATATAATACATGCACTTATCACTCTGGTACTGATATTCACCTTACAACAATCATCTCATTTAAATTGTTATTCAAAGGGAAGCACAGGCATCGAGATTATTTCCAGCGACTGTTGACCGAGGTGACTCGTTACCGCGTTCGGTCCCTGAGCCTCGGCTTGATTTTGTTTTGCACGTCACACACATGCACACACACTGTAAGGGGTATTATTTGACCTCTATTACATTGGTGACAGGAGTACTAAAAGCTTGGGTGGCTTTACACTCTTTATTCTGTAAGAGTTCAGCATACGGTTTTGATAAACACAAACGACAAGACTTGGGTTAAGCGATGGGTCGCCTAGGTCACGGGCGGCCACCTCCACGGGCAAGAGGGGCCGCGGAGGATCAGACGTGACCTCGCCGCGCCGATTGTGATTTGCGAAGTTCTAGCTTCGCCCGGGCCTTCGGCTATGGCCCGGCCTATGTCAGCTTTTTAGGGCTGACTCATTTCGTTCTATGGCACTCGGTGCTTACCGTGGCGGTGGGATTGCCAGCAGGCGCTCCTGCTGCCACGGGGTAAGCGAATCGCAAAGTCTCTTTACCAGCACGGCGGCTGTTGTCGGGGGTCCCTGTCTCAGGAATTGTGTGTGTACACAATTCTCTAAGTAATGTATAAGTGTGGCGTTCGGCTCGCCGCAATGCATGCAACACCTCTCTTCATGGACAATGGTCTCAATTATCTGCCATTTACAGTGGTAACCTAGGCGCATTCTGTGGAGAATGACTTCGAAGTATCCGAGACGTTGGCTCAGCTGGGGCACGCCGCTTGGGTACCTTAGCGTGGGGCGCCACGTGGCAACTGCGAGCGTCCCCGTGGGAGCCACGCGGGCATAATCAGATATAATACACGGTACACACACACACATATACATATGTACAATATATATATATATATATACATATATATACATATATATATATATATACATATATATATATATATATATATATATATGTATGTATGTATAAATATTATTCTATCTATATATGTTGTCAGATTTTTTTATATCGTAGAATAACGGCAAAAGATAGCTGGCTTACCTTTCACATTGTGCGATCCAGTTTTACACTCGCCTTCCCGATGGCAAGACGGGTATGGAAGTCAGCTTGTGTGACGTCACTCAGTGCATGATCCAAAGGCAATCAGGCTTTCAGTATTTTCACGTCTATTGTTAAACACGTATCTGTATATGATGATGTCTTCCATTTTTAAATTAAGTTTTCAAAGTATTTAGGACGTAAATATTCCCTAGACGTGATGTGACCTAAAAAGGCATGTAAAAGGACCATAGTTGAGTAAGTAGATAATTGATTAATTAAATTGAAAGTCAGAAAATGCAAAGTTTTATTACTGTTTGTTCTCTTATTCAAGCATATGATTAATTTTCTTTTTCTTTTCTTTTCTTTCTTTCCTTTCCTTTTATTTTTTTTTGTCTTTATATTTTTCTTCTTTTTTTTTTTTTTTTTTTTTTTTTTTTTTTTTTTCTGTTGTGCAAGATCTGTTGGCATTTGGCTTATAACTCCAAGTAAACAGTTCAGTATGGAGGCACAATTTCCATTTGCAGCTCTTTTGAATAACTATCTCTCCTACCGATGAAAAAAAAGAAAAGAAATTCGAAAGTGTTATTCTTTATTCGACGGAAGATAAGTTCATTACACAGGAATCCATCATCTTCTTAATTAAAAGAAACTAGATACCAAACATCTCATTCTCATTCAAATCTCCAGGTCAGTGGGTGGATTTATTTCCCATTCTTACCTCTAACGACGAAAAAGTTAGTAAGGACATCATTTGGGGAAAAAAATGAAATGAACTTGTTTTTTGGAGTGATAAAAAGGATTCACGTAAAACATGCGAGGAGACTTTTCTTTGATATTTTTCTCGTGTGTGTGATTGTTTGTGTGTACGTGTGTTTGTGTGTGCATTCAAAAGATGAGTACATACAAACAGGGAACAAGGGATAACTTTATCGTTTTATTACTTTATTAAGATTGTACACCTGGTAGTGCAGTTAATGACATATGTATTTAAGTGATGTAAGTAGGTAATGATGCTTAATGATTCACGGCTACCAGATGAGACTGCCACTAAGCTTCTTAATCCTAAATGCTTTTTTCAGGATGAAAATGTCTTAAACTGTCTATCACAGTTAATGACCATACCCACCTCCGTGGCCGCCTCCATGACCATATCCGCCTCCGTGGCCACCTCCATGGCCGTATCCACCTCCATGGCCACCTCCGTGTCCACCTCCGTGGCCACCTCCATGGCCGTATCCACCTCCATGGCCACCTCCGTGTCCACCTCCGTGGCCACCTCCATGGCCGTATCCACCTCCATGGCCACCTCCGTGTCCACCTCCGTGGCCACCTCCATGGCCGTATCCACCTCCATGGCCACCTCCGTGTCCACCTCCGTGGCCACCTCCATGGCCGTATCCACCTCCATGGCCACCTCCGTGTCCACCTCCGTGGCCACCTCCATGGCCGTATCCACCTCCATGGCCACCTCCGTGTCCACCTCCGTGGCCACCTCCATGGCCGTATCCACCTCCATGGCCATATCCACCTCCGTGGCCACCTCCATGGCCGTATCCACCTCCATGGCCACCTCCGTGTCCACCTCCGTGGCCACCTCCATGGCCGTATCCACCTCCATGGCCACCTCCGTGTCCACCTCCGTGGCCACCTCCATGGCCGTATCCACCTCCATGGCCACCTCCGTGTCCACCTCCGTGGCCACCTCCATGGCCGTATCCACCTCCATGGCCACCTCCGTGTCCACCTCCGTGGCCACCTCCATGGCCGTATCCACCTCCATGGCCACCTCCGTGTCCACCTCCGTGGCCACCTCCATGGCCGTATCCACCTCCATGGCCACCTCCGTGTCCACCTCCGTGGCCACCTCCATGGCCGTATCCACCTCCATGGCCACCTCCGTGTCCACCTCCGTGGCCACCTCCATGGCCGTATCCACCTCCATGGCCACCTCCGTGTCCACCTCCGTGGCCACCTCCATGGCCGTATCCACCTCCATGGCCACCTCCGTGTCCACCTCCGTGGCCACCTCCATGGCCGTATCCACCTCCATGGCCACCTCCGTGTCCACCTCCGTGGCCACCTCCATGGCCGTATCCACCTCCATGGCCACCTCCGTGTCCACCTCCGTGGCCACCTCCATGGCCGTATCCACCTCCATGGCCACCTCCGTGTCCACCTCCGTGGCCACCTCCATGGCCGTATCCACCTCCATGGCCATATCCACCTCCGTGGCCACCTCCATGGCCGTATCCACCTCCATGGCCACCTCCGTGTCCACCTCCGTGGCCACCTCCATGGCCGTATCCACCTCCATTTTGCATTTTGTGACAAGGTTTTAGGATGGATAAGAATTCCATATCAAATATTGTTAAATGGTAAGACAATCAAAGGGAGCTGTTATTGTATTTTCTTTATCTTTCTGCATTGTGTCAAATATGCGATTTTATTTTATTTTGCTTAGATGTGAGCATAAATATATCATTTGATTTCCTTAGATCCTTTAAATACAATTTCATTGTCACTGATGGCATAGATACAAGGTTGTGCTATCCATCTAGCTGGTGGATGATCTGAAGCAAGAGTCAGTTTGCAATTGATTTCCTTTTTTTTTCTTTTGTGCAAGATCTGTTGGCATTTGGCTTATAACTCCAAGTAAACAGTTCAGTATGGAGGCACAATTTCCATTTGCAGCTCTTTTGAATAACTATCTCTCCCACCGATGAAAAAAAGAAAAGAAATTCGAAAGTGTTATTCTTTATTCGACGGAAAATAAGTTCATTACACAAGAATTCATCATCTTAACAAAAAGAAACTAGATACCAAACATCACATTCTCATTCAAATCTCCAGGTCAGTGGGTGGATTTATTTCCCATTCTTACCTCTAACGACGAAAAAGTTAGTAAGGACATCATTTGGGAAAAAAATGAAATTAACTTGTTTTTTGGAGTGATAAAAAGGATTCACGTAGAACATGCGAGGAGACTTTTCTTTGATATTTTTCTCGTGTGTGTGATTGTTTGTGTGTACATGTGTGTTTGTGTGTGCATTCAAAAGATGAGTACATACAAACAGGGAACACGGGATAACTTTATCGTTTTATTACTTTATTAAGATTGTACACCTGGTAGTGCAGTTAATGACATATATGTACTTAAGTGATGTAAGTAGGTAATGATGCTTAATGATTCACGGCTACCAGATGAGACTGCCACTAAGCTTCTTAATCCTAAGTACTTTTTCAGAATGAAAATATCTTAAACTGTCTATCACAGTTAATGACCATACCCACCTCCGTGGCCGCCTCCATGACCATATCCGCCTCCGTGGCCACCTCCATGGCCGTATCCACCTCCATGGCCACCTCCGTGTCCACCTCCATGGCCATATCCACCTCCGTGGCCACCCCCATGGCCATATCCACCCTTAGGTCCTGCCAGGTTGAAGTTGCTGTTCGAGATGCCGCCTACTCCATATCCACCTCCGTGCCCGTGTCCGCCTCCATGTCCGTACCCACCGCCATGTCCACCGTGTCCGTATCCACCGCCGTGTCCACCTCCGTGTCCATATCCACCGCCATGGCCACCGTGCCCATATCCACCGCCGTGTCCACCGCCGTGTCCGTATCCTCCTCCATGCCCGTGTCCGCCGTCAGCTTGACACATGACAGCTAGGCTTGCCACTCCAACCAACGCAAGTACAAACTTCTGCAAATAGAGCCAAAAGTAATAACTCGCACGTAAATCCAAATGCTGCATAGCTTTCTTTCCCTTCCAGCTTATACTTATATTTCCAGTGACTTGAAGCCTATTTCTTTTTCTTATATCTATCTTAATGCACAGTGCCTCTTTACCATGTTGCCACAGGGAGAGAACTTGTCACTCACTGCGTTTCCTACACCGTTTTATACCGAACGTCCCAGCTCACTCACTCACCCGGAATGTCGAGAACCAATACTTTCACTTTTTAAGAAAAGAAAAAAAAATATAGGACAGAAGTCTTGATTTTTTATATCTGTTCCATTTCACCAAGTCTATTCATAAATGAAAATAAAACTAGTCTTCATGTAGCACTCGTGGTATTGTCTGAGTAGAATTATTGTTGGATACGAGAATGGTAATTTAAAGTTTCCTTATAGTGCTTGTAAACTGTTAAATATATCTATACCTACATCTATATCTATTAACATCTGTCTATCTATCTATACATATATGTATATATATCTATACACATATTTATGAAGTGGGGAAACCAATAACTCCCAATAAAAGACGCATTGGTATGAAAGAACGTAGAAAAGATATGAATGACAGTGAATGTATTTCTGACGAAGGGGTAATCGAATCCGTTCAAATACATCTCTTTTACTGTTAAGATATTCATTCTCATTCAAACATTCACTACATCTGTCGCTATGAATAGGGTTTATAAAAAGAACTGTTAAAAGTACACTTACTTACTTTGATTAGACTACTATTACTTATGATCGAGATAAAAATCAAGTGGAAAGGGACAAAATCACCTCGTACCCAGACTATTGTAACGCAACTTAGGCCAAACGTGGATACAGTAACAAATATGACCTACTGTCGAAGTAAAGAGAAATTTATGCTGGTATCTAACATGAATTTATTCTATTTATTTGATCTTATTTATCCATTCATTTTTTAGTTTATTTTGTACTGAAGTAATCTTCCATTAGTACCACTTTTTGAAAAGGGTAATGTCTGCTTCTCCGTGCTAGGTTTTGCTAGAATGAAATAAAGATGTACCCTCTTGACCAAAGATCTGAAAGGCACGCCATTCAACAGCTCTATATCCACTTTGTTCAGATCCCTGTACTAATGAGAATTGAAGAAAGACATGCGTAATAGAAATCCACACAGCAAGATAAGATTCGATGTTTTATAAGGGGAACCCTTAGGAGTATTTTATCATATGGATTATTTATAATGCGAGATAGGATAAAAGGTAATAAAAGAAAACAGTAATAAAAGGGACTTATATAATTTCGTTGAAACTGGATAGTATGTCTCCGTACACACACACACACACACATACATGTATATATATAGAGATAGATAGATATACATATATACATACACATGTATATAAAATATAATGTATGTATATATGTATATATAAACATGTATGTATACATATATATAACCCAAAAATACATACATATAGTGAAAAAAATATATGTATATATACACATACATTATGTGTATGCGCAGAAAGGCGTGATTTTATAGTAATTCTATATAGACCAGATCTCGGTGTGCGTGTGTGAACACACACACACACACATATTTATATATGTATGTATATATGTATATATACACATACATTATGTGTATGCGCAGAAAGGTGTGATTTTATAGTAATTCTATATAGACCAGATCTCGGTGTGCGTGTATGAACACAAACACACACACAGACACACACACACACACACTCGTGTACACACACACACACACTCGTGTACACACACACACATATATATATATATACATACATACATATACATATACATATATATGTATATATACTTACATATAGATACTATGGTAGAAAAACACACATTGCACAAACTAAATTTATTGAAAATAAAATTACAGTTTCGAATCCACCTGGATTCCATTTTTAGGTCTGACACACTATGTGTATGCGCGTGGGTATGTGCACGCATAGAAACGTGTGAGTTATGAGTTTATAAAAAATAATCATGTAGAAAATTAGTTCTAGTGTCATCTGCTAGCTGATACGACACACACACAATACATACAAACACACACACACACATACAATATACACACACACTCACACACTAAAAGCATGATCAAAAGAGAAATAAGAAAAATACCGTGGATTTTTTCTCGGAAATCTCTGGCTTATTGCTGTCATAGTTTCCCTGACGAGACAGGAACTGCATGTCACTATGGTAACAGTCATTGTAAAAGGATAAGCAAAACGTTCAAAGGAGACAGTGGCCGTCAAGATAGATCAAATGCTGGTATGTGTTTGAACATAGTATATACAGAGTATCTTTCGAAGCAATAAATACGAGGCAATGGAATGTACTCGTCTTTTTGGTCCTCAATTTGCAATGAAAATATTTTGACTTGCAATATCATCTGTCTAGTTCAAAGATGTCAAAACTCAGGACATTCAGGAGGTGGAGAACCAATGGGATAAACCACACTACCCATAAATCCCCATTAAACTGGATATATGTCTTTGAAAAAACTTTCATCGGGCTATCATTGCATATTTTCCCATTAAGAATAAAGTGATTACATTGCCACTTAGCTATGTAGGCTAAGGCAATGCTTGCTAGATTAGACTAGGTTAGTATTTGCAATTATATACACAGACATACCTACTCATGTTGATAACGATATTCAACAAAGATTTCATTTCACTCTTTGTTTTCTTAGAAGAACTGTTATTTGAATAGCCATTTATAGCTTAATGGATAATTTTGATGTCTAAAGTATGTTTGGCGGGGGAAGGAGGAGGGGACACATCCCTATCGCTTCTTTAGTAATACGTGTTCAAATTGAGATTCTTAGTGTAGGGAAATTATATCTTAAAGCTGAAGCGGCAATAAGATTGAATCACCATGGTCAGTCGACACATCGTGAACGTTAGAAATTCATGCGTGTATATGCATATATAAATATATATACATGCATATATATTACATATATTTTATATATATGTGTGTATATGTATATGTACATATATTTTATATATATGTGTGTATACGTATATGTACATATATATATATATATATATATATATATATATATATATATATATATATATGTGTGTGTGTGTGTGTGTGTGTGTGTATGTGTGTGTGTGTATTTTTTTACAAAATATAATTGGAAAACAGCCACAATAGGAAATGATTATGTATATATATGTATATATACACACACACACATGTATACCATATATGTATATATATACAGAAAACACACACACACACATATATATATGTATATATATTTATTTTATTATCATTATTTTTTTCAACAGCCATTCATTCCACTGCAGGACATAGGCATCTCTCAATTCACTATTGAGAGGTTATATGACAGTGTCATCCTTGCCTGATTGGATGCCCTTCCTAATCAACACAAACACACACACACGCACACGCACACGTTTTACAAAAAAAAAAAAATAAAAAATAAAGGAAAACAGCCACAATAGAAAATTATTATGTATATACATACATACATATATATATATTGTATGTATACACATACATGTATATTATATATATATATATATTGTATGTATACACACATGTATATTATATATATATATACAAAACACTCATATAAATATATATATACACACACATATATATATATATATTTATACATATATATATCAATATATATATATATATATGCGTATATATATATACATACATACATATATATACATACACACACACACATATATATATATGCGTGTGTGTGTGTTTATGTATGTGTATGTGTTTGTGTGTGTGTGTGCGCGCGCGCGCGTGTGTGTATTTATGCACAAACACACACATATATATGTATCTTACAAAACACACACACACAGACACATACACATACAAACACACACACACACACACATACACACACAGATATATATATATATATATGTATATATATATTTCTAGATCACGTGCAACACAGAAGCGGAAAAGGACGTGGGATACGTGATTTTCCGGCGAGCCAGCGTTCGATTTTCAGAGCCATTCTGAATTGAAATGCTTCACCAGTGAGGTCTATGAAGTCAACCTTCTCTCTCTCATACATTTTCTCTCCTTGTGATACTCATTTTCTATCTACCTTCTGTATACATATGGTAGGACACATTTGGTATGTTTATCGTGAATGGGAGTATAAAACACTGGATAACCACAAGATTATAAGTTTATACTGTACACACTTCGAGAAAACACTTAAAGAGTTTGAAATTATTCTATTCTATAGTTTGATGTTAATGGCCATATCCGCCGTGGCCGCCTCCATGACCATATCCACCTCCGTGGCCACCTCCATGGCCACCTCCATGGCCGTATCCACCTCCGTGGCCACCCCCATGGCCATATCCACCCTTAGGTCCTGCCAGGTTGAAGTTGCTGTTCGAGATGCCGCCTACTCCATATCCACCTCCGTGCCCGTGCCCGCCTCCATGTCCGTACCCACCGCCATGCCCACCGTGTCCGTATCCACCGCCGTGTCCACCTCCGTGCCCATATCCACCGCCGTGTCCACCGCCGTGTCCGTATCCTCCTCCATGCCCGTGTCCGCCGTCAGCTTGACTCATGACAGCTAGGCTTGCCACACCAACCAACGCAAGTATAAACTTCTGCAAATAGAGTCAAGAGTAATAACAAACACGCACACAGAAAAGATCCAAATGCTGTATAGCTTTCTTTCCCGTCCAACACTCCTATTTCCATTGTATCTCTATCTCCACAGACTTCGAAAGCTAATCCTTCTTAGTGCACAGAGTCTCTTTACCATGTTGCCGCAGGGAGAGAACTTGTCACTCACTGCATTTCTACAACGTTATATACCGAAGGTCTCGGCTCGCTCGGTCGCCCGTAATGTCGAGTACTGATACTTTCACACGTAGAAAGAACCCTCTATTAGGA